TGTTATGTTATGTTATGTTATGTTATGTTATGTTATGTTATGTTATGTTATGTTATGTTATATTATATTATATTATATTATATTATATTATATTATATTATATTATATTTCTGCCTTTCAATAGAAGGCTCCATGAGGCCCAGTGACACCGTTTCGGAGTCCAGTCCAGGGTCTACAGCCACACAGTCAGGAGTGCCGACTCAGGTGGTTCAACAAGTCCAGGCTACTCAGCAGGTATGTGGCTCAAGTAAGGGTCCTGCTCCTAATGTGATATAGGTAACTAGATGTACTAAAGCAATCTGACTCAAGTTTCTAGGTTTTGTTCAGAACAGTATAAGAAACATGGAATATGATGAGTAAAAACAAAAGGAATACTGGGTAAGTTAATTTCCAAAGTAGCTAAGAATGGGATATGTTTCTTTGTTTGTATCCTAGCTTTTTGTTTTTTCAATAATCAAGATGGCTTAAAATGATAAAAATACAAAATATGAGCTACAGTAACAATACTGTTAATGTCAGAATTAAACAATTAAAAGATTGGTGAAGATTGGTATTTCTTGAACACTAAGAGAATGTGAGCCAAATGTATTTTCCTAGGGAGTGTGCTCCATGGCTTGGGAGTCATGCAGGAGAATTATCAGTCATCTAGCGAAAGGAAGATCTTCAAAAGATCAGTAAGATCTCTCCTGCTAATCTAAGTAGCCAGGCAGATTTGTTGTTGGAGAGGTATAAATAGTTAGACCCTCTCAAACCATTAATGGCTTTAAGGGTCTATATCAATGTATTGGATTGTGTTGGAAGGCAACTAATAGCCAGTGCAAGTCTTTCAGTATAAGTATCATATGATACCTATGCTCTTCACTGTCAGTAATTTACCTATTATATTTTGTACTAGTTGCAGATTCTGAAACTTATTCTCTGCAGTTGTTAGGACAGGTTGTAACCAAGGCATAGATTAATATTGCTAAGGCCAGCCAGTTCAGGTAGAGTCATATGAGGCTTACCAACCATAATTTGTGAACATGCTCCTTCAGGAGCTGTACAACTCCATCTAGAACAAGCCTCACTTCAGTTCCAGAGTCCAGCTTTTTCCCTACCAACAGCAGTTCTATGTATGTATGTATGTATGTATGTATGTATGTATGTATGTATTCATTCATTCATTCATTCATTCATTCATTCATTCATTTAAAAGATTTGTATTGCTGCCCATCTTGAAGCCCAACTCTGGGTGCTTCACAACAATAATAAAACTACAAATCATAAAAACCAATAAGCCATGAAAGCAAAAACTAAAAACCCAAAACTAAAAAAGCCCCAGCAACTCATTAATCTCCTGGGATGCCCCAACAACCATCCATAGGCTCCCATCATTCTACCCCAGTGCTTTGATAAAGACCCAGGTCTTGATGGCCTTCTAGAAGGCTAAAAGAGCAGGGGCTTGCCAGATTGCTGGGGGGAGTGTGTTCCACGAGGTAGGGGCAGCTATGAAAAAGGCACTTCTATCTTCTTTAGTTTTAATTGTTCTCTCTCATCTGAATATCAAAATTAATTAACATTCAAGGGAACTAATTAATTCTTTGGAATTAGAAAAATAAGAAAAAGTAGAGCTGGGTGTCATTAGCACACTGAGGTATAAAGCTCCAAATAATCTCCCCAGCACTTTCATGTAGATGATGAATAGCATAGGGGAAAAGATAGATACTATACAGAGGTCAAAGATATGAGTATTGAGTAGTAGTCCCCAGAACCATCCTCTGGACACCTTGACTAGCAGAACCAGAACTACTGCAAAACAGTGTGTCTGAGGCTCAGCCCAACCAAACAGTAGTACTGAAAGCCTCTGAGAAATCTAGGAGAACTTGCCCATCTAACTTCTGGCATAGACCCTAAGCCAAGATGACCAGAGCAGTCCAGTACCATATCTGGACAAAATTCCAGTTAAAATGTCTCCAGAAAATTAGTTTCATCCATATGTATCTGGAGTTGCAAGGCTACTGGTTTCTCAAACATCTTGCCTAAGAATGGAATAGTACAGACTGGCCTCTAATTAATGAAATCTTCTGGATCAGGGAAGGCCTTTTTTCAGCAAAGGTCTTACAACAGTTTTATTTAAGAATGTAGGGACATATACCATGCTTACAGAAGCATTAATCACCTCTCTTAAACATGGAACCAGTCCCAGACTGGCTGTAAATCTACCAGGAGGGGCAAGGACTGAGCAGACACATGGTGGCCCTTAGCTCTCTGCACATTCCTTCCATATCATCAAGGTTTACAAGCTGAAAAGGATCTATACAAACCTGATAAGGTTACCTCCATATGATCTGCCCCCAAATTGGAATCTAAATCAAGGTAACCCCATTGACTTTGTCTGCAAAGAATTTTGAAGATTGCTCACAGTGAGTCTCCATCAGTTCCAGCTTTCCTCCATCCAGTTCTTCTTAGAGAAGGTGTTGGAAATTTCATATGGTTAGCCTGTTCTGTGCAGATGTTGTGGAGGCTGAGAAAAAGGCCCTCTATACTACATGCACTGCTACAGGATAGGATTTCAAATGGGACTGAAAGAGATTCCACCTGTACTAAACTGTATAATCCAATTCATTATGAGTTCCTCCATCTGCACTCCAGCTCTCTGCTTAGGTATTTTGTGTTTTGTTCTTAATTGTAAAATACAAATACAAGTATTTTATTGGCTTTACTGTATAATGAACTTCCAAATCTCTGACTAGGAAAAATAGTCAAAGTGACTAAGGCTAAAAGTTTTTCAGCTATTGCTGGGCACTGTCTTTTTTTTTTTTTTTGATCCTGGGCTCTCGTTTGCAGAGATTATTGGTTCAAGCCAGTGTACAAACAAAACCTGGAACAGTATCTCCTTTGCAGCTTACAAGTGTGCAAGTTCCCCAACAGGTGAGTCTCATTTCTGTTACTGATGCTGCTACAAACAGTTGGAGCTGTTCTGAAACACTCTCCTTTGTCCAGCAACCTGCCTGTTAGATAATATATGAGTGCTTCATATATTGCCATAAAAATTGCTGTATTTATAGCTCTGTTTCTGTTATGAGATGTAGCTGCATTATGCTACTAGCTCAAGCTAACATGTTTATCCAAAGGAATATCATGATTTTTTTGTGAAGACCATTGAGTAATAAACATTTTTCACAGTCTCCACAAAATGCATATTAATTTATTTGATTAATACCTCATCTTTCCATATGAGAGGAAGATCAAGGCATATAATGTTAAAAAAGATTGACAAAGATTAAACAATGAATTACAATATGATTAAGATGAATACTTTATTGTTAATATTTTGAAAAATAGTTCAAAAGGCTGAAGAGGTAAGTCTTATTTTGTAAAGATGGAAAAAGTAGATTAAAACCAGTATCTTAAATCATGTCCAAAATGGCAACCAGTTCAGGTCTTTCAACATTAGGATAATATGGTCCCTGTATCTTGCACCAACCTAACTGACAAAAGTGCTGAGAACTGAAGTTTGTGGATATTCTTTCAAGTGTGGCCTGATGTAAAACAGAAAAGGCATAGAAGCTATTTGGCTCAGGAAAGTGATAGTTGATAATTAGACATAATTATATAAACACCCCTCTTGCTATTGTCACTGCCTTGAGATCCAGATACACCTGAGGATCAAGTAGCACTCAAGATTGTGAAATTCTTCTTTCAGGGAGAACACAACCGTATTCAGAACAGACTGAAATGCAGTCTTAGGGCCAA